AAATCTGAAATTTTGAGAATCCATAGATGAGGTCGTGTTTTTTCCAGAAATAATAATAGAACATTTAAAAAAAATCATTTACACTGCGAAATAATCGTCGCACCGGTTCGGCACATTTTCCATTTTTGCCACTCAGCCATGCCTGGGCCAATAAATTTAAAAAAATCATTCCAACTGCAAAATAGATCGTGGCCGCAATTTGACCCATATTTAATTTTGCCATTCACTCTCTCTCTCTCTCTCTCTCTCTCTCTCTCTCTCTCTCTCTTTGTCTGTGTGTGTATAACACACCCACACAAACATCTGACACATGCGCACACACTCTATAACACACACACACACACACACACACACACACACACACACACACACACACACACACACACACACACATCAATGACCACATTAAACCACTCGTACAGCCGGGGCCGTTTCACCGAACCAACGTGCCCCTGCGTGGAGACATTTGCCGAAGCGCCAACATGGCATATTTTTTCCTTTTTGTTGGTTGGCGGCAGCAGCCATTCCGGTTTGGTCACCTCGAGCCCCAAAAAGGCCCGAAATTTTCAGTGCTGGGGACGAGTTTCTTTCCTGCAAGGCTGGGGCCCTGTAGTCGTGATTAAACCACCAGTACATGGCCCCAGCCAAGTTGAGAATCCGATCGAGTCAGTCTCTCCTAAAATTTCGGAGGCTCGGGACAGGGAGTCCAAAGGGCCAGTAGAAAATAAAATTGTCCCATGCCGTGAGGGGCCACTAGGCCCAGCCCTGAAACAAAACAAAACCAAAAAAAAAAACAATTGTCCCCCCCCAGTCAGGCCCTGTCCCAAGTCCCCTAACTTCTCTGAGAGGCTTATGCGAATCTCCAGATGTACTGGTGCTTAAAACAGGGCCCACTTTGCTGTCTTAAACCGCCAGTACACGGCCCCAGCCATTGTAGAGGCTATCCACATCCCAACCACGGCCCAACCACGACCCAACCACGGCCCAAACACGGCCCAAACACGGCGACATAACCAGACATAGTATTGTCTGAAGGACACTGATAGTATCATTTGCCTAGCCGGACAGATACCCCTCCTTCCCTTGCCAGCCTCCCGCAAAGTTATAATGGTCCCCTGCAGATGACGACCCATGCCAAGTATTTGTTGATATGCAACAGGTGACCTGACGGCCGCTGGGCTAAACATGCCGACAATGACAGACTTCATGCAAGCTACTGAAGTATACGCAATGATCTTTTTCAGACCTATTTGCCGTAATTCAGGTAGTTAAGGAAGTCCTAATACACTACAGCAATCACACAACCAAGGCCACTGGGCCCGGTTCCCAGTCTGTACAAATAAATATCATGATGTATTCAAGGGACGCTGGACCCCGGTTTCCAGCAGGTGTTGCTCCCCACCAATAGACGGAGCTTGTCTTTTCAACAAAAAAAAAATCACATAACCAAGGCCAATCCCTCACACTGGCCTTTTTTCAACCGACTCCGCCCATAATTATGGTCAGGCACATCCTACATCGTGCAGCTGTGAGTATGCCCTTATAGACTACTAGCCCTTGTAGAATAAGACATGAACTCTAGACTCGATGTATGGACTTGGGGTGGGAACTCTCGGGACTTGGGACAAAACAATCACCTTTCTCTCCCTCTCCCTTGCTCGTTCTGCATACTCTGCCTTGTCCCATTTCCTTCGGAACGTATTGTCGACCCCATCTGGCTGCACAAATCAAATACAACCAACAAAAGGTCACCCACAAGAAATGGAAAAAAAATGGAAAAAAAAAGAGCGATGGAGTTCCACTTTCAGTCAATGATTCATTCATCCATACACCGTACGTTTTTTCAACTTTTTTGTCAAAAGCAGTTCTCTGTTTTTTTTTCCACTTCTTTTCTTGAGAAAGAAATTCCCAAATTAACTATGTTACCAACCAGGCCGCCTGGGTCACCTTGGTTGCGCAGGTGGCCTGGCCAGGCAAGGGCCAGGGAAGGTCTCTGTATGTGTAGCATCGTGTTCGGGTTCGAACCCGAACGTTCGGGACCGAACGCAAACGAGCGCCGAAACTCTCCGAACGCGAACATAAAAATATTAATAAAAAAAAAAGGTTCTCCAAAAAATCTGGAAAAAAAAATGTTATGTAAAATAATAATACAAACAACTTTTGCCTTGGAGGTATGCTCAAATTCGTAACCAAACTCGAGTTAAAAATCAGAAACTAAAAACAAGTTTTTTTTTTTTTTGATTATGTTCGGCCGAACAGGTTCGGGTGGCATTCGGCCGAACACCCGAACATGTTCGGACGTTCGGAAACGCTCCAAACATGTTCGGTGTGCCACACAGGTCTTCGTAAGAAAAAAAAAAAAAATCCAAAAAAT